AGGTTTCTTAACCTTGACTTAGTTAACGCCACTCCTTGACTGTACATCACTCATCAGGTAGCGTTTCCATGGCCATCAACATCTCTCTCTATTCAGACCTTAGGGTTTTGTAAGGTAAATCTCAGAGTTAATGGAAAGGATTATCAAGATGTACATTTAGCTATTCTGCCACAACTGTGCTCTGATGTTATCCTTGGTCAGGACTTTCAGAAGCTGCATGGTAGTGTTCACCTTAACATATGGAGGTGAACTACCTCCTCTTGTTGTCTGTGGACTTAGCACTTTAAGGGTAGACCCACCTAAGCTGTGTTTTGCAAATCTTACCGCTGATTGCCATCCTATATCAGCTAAGTCACGCCGTATTCTTATTTATCGCAATTGATCAGATCATGCAGAGTATGTGCAGAGTGCAAGCCAAACTTTCATTAGTCAGAGAAGACTTATCTCATAAAAGCCACCAGCCTTTCAAAAGACAATATACTTTTCAAAGGACCTCTACCAAGCATAAATCAGAAGAGATATTTTTTTAACATAGTAGATGAATATCCAAGGTTCATTTTATGTTCACCTGTGCAACTATGACTGCTTCAACTGTCATCAGTTGTCTTTCCCAGTTATTCTCTAGTTTTGTTACCCCGGCCTATGTCCATTCAGACAGGGATCCTCGTTCATGAGTAACGACCTTCAGGAGTTTTTGGCGAGCAAAGGCATTGCTGGCAGCAGAACAACAAGCAAAGGTATTGCTTGCAGCAGAACAACAGGTCAAGTGGAGTAGTTCAATGGTACTATATTGAAGGTAGTTACAATGACACTGAAATCGCACAATCTACCTGTTCAATACTGGCAAACTGTCCTACCTGATTCTTTTCACTCTATTAGATCATTGCTGTGCACAGCTACTAATGCAACCCTTCATGAAAGACTCTTCAACTATTCACGTCACTCCTCTATGGGAGCCTCCGTGCCCACCTGGTTATGTTATCCTGGACCCGTTCTCCTGAAGAGTCACCATAGGATGAACAAGACAGATCCTTCAGTGGAAGAGGTAGAGCTCCAGCAAACTATCTGCTTTAAGCCAACATTCGCTACCAAAATGGTGAAGAGACTTCTGTATTTACAAGACACTTAGCCCCAATTAAAACCCCTGTTAGTGCGGAATATCAAGATGCTCCAATAGAATTCATGTGATAATGCTTCGGTTCATCCAGGAAAGCCTCTTGAGGCTTACCCCTATTGAAATAGAGGACCCTCTCCAGCAGTTAGTGAAACCCGCTGGAAATACTGAACCCAGTGAAGAGGCTCAAGGCATGGAGTACACGTCTCCCACCCAACCCTTTGGGAAATTACTGTATTGATATTTTAGAAGGGGGAAATTGTAGTGATACTGCTCCTGTGGGGGCAGCAGCAGGACACAATACTGCACCCACCTCTCAGGGGCCCTTAACAAAAACAAAAACACATGAGTTGACGGATGCCCCACACATAGTGTGCTGTTTTTCCTGTCTTACACAGGTACATTGGTGATGCAGATTACATGGTGAGATTAAAATAGGTGGCATGTAGTTATAACTTTTCTGAGGACACATGCACCTTACTTCACCCTTCCTGCAGCAGCAGTCATTAGATATACTGGACATGTACTATTCATTGTTTACTTTTGTTGTTGCAGAGATGTACTATGGATTCTGTGTTCAATAAAGCCTACAGATAAGGCCTGTGTTCTTATCACAAAGTCTTCTTCCTTCAGGATGACCAAAACTCACGAGTAAAATCTTTGTCTTCAATAATAATAAAACTTAGATTGGATCTTCATACCTCTAAGAACAATAATCTTAATTAAGAGCACAAAATTACTTCTCTTTCCCTTATTACATAAAGGAACGATTATATATAAATATGGTTATAGATAAGATATTACCAGGAAAGCATAGATCCCAATGGTAAAGTTAGACAATCGTTATAAGAGTTATTAAATAATCGATACCTTATTGACAACTCTTAACAAAGTAAATTCTACCTATACCAGGAGTTTTGCCGATGTTCCCATCCAAGGGACCGGAATAGGATTATAGAGACTTCCAGAATATAGAGATTTATATTGAGCAAGAGAGTGCTAGACAGAGTGCTACTCGGAAGAGAGTGGGTAGACCCACTCATTAATATTGACTATTATACATAGATCAATTATTCTACATCCTAACCCAGTCATCTGCTAAGAGGAATTCTACATTGTCCCATGCAAGAGACTAATATTCTAGACTGCCAGGGAAAATTTTGTTAACGGCTGAGGGCCTGAACCTACTCTCTGGTTCCTTGATGATCACTGCAGGTTGATGTGGGCTTCACTAATCTGTTCTGCGGCCTCGTTGTTGGCATTGTTGGTTCAGCTACTGCTCTAGCTGATGCTGCTGGTGCCTCTCTCTGTGTGCAGTTTCTGTACATAGAGATCTTTGTTAGTGATAGTGGTCTTATTGTCGACATTTTGCAGACATCGAAGGATAAGATGAGAAACAAGACTTGTATTTGTTCAAGCTTTTATGGAAACAAAAAGTGTGTTGTGTGAGATTGTGTTATCACCTAGTGTTGAGCGAAGGAGATAAAACTGTAAGGGCTAATCTTGGAGAGATATTCGTCGCTCAACCTTTGGGACGAGCGGACGTGAGCTGAGCCTGCCCTCTGCTGTCAGCCGGTGACAACTTGGTTTTCTCAAAATGGCGCAGCCGGCAAGAAGAAGGGTCAACACTGTCGGCATTGAAGTGGTGCGTGGGCTGTGCATGCCCACTCAGCTCAAGTTTTATTACCTGCCATCATCAGGGACACATACGGCATTGCCAACGAAGAGCTGTATGGTGTAGCCTTGAACGGGGCATATAGAATTTTTGTGAAATTTCTCAATGCAAGTGTATATGAGGACATAGTTGCCAGGTTCCAAGATCTTTGTGTACCAGTGAATCCTGCAGTGACGGTAAGGCTACATGATGTGTCCCGCCATTATACGTGGGTGAAGATAAAAAATGTACCCTTTGAGGCTAATGAGGCAGACCTACGTGCCGTCTTCGAGAAGTTTGGGACTGTTCATATGGCGACATTGGGGAAATGGAAGGAAGGATCATATTCTGGGATGCCTGAAGGAAGTTTTTCCTTAAAAATGACATTGAGGCATCCTATTCCTTCCTATATTTTCCTAGAAGACTTCAGGACTCAGGTAATGGTGACTTACGCAGGGCAACAACGTACCTGTCGATTATGTGGTGCATATGATCACATTGCTGCGCAGTGTGTTAAGCAACAGGGTACACAGGCGAAGGAGCAGCATAAGGAGGCATCAGAGGACCTTGGGAAGTTGGATTTGGCACGACCTGAGTGGGTTTTCCCTTGAACAAGGCTTGGAGTGTGGAGGTCGAGGAGGCCTTGAGGGAGGAAGAGTGTGTAACTCTTCCGAGAGAGACTCCCACTGCCGGGCAGGCACCGGCGACCAAAGATGTGGTGTCACTGGGTGAGGACAGGGCCGTGGAGGCTACCATTGATTCAGTCCTCCACGACCTGTTAGGGACCCCAGGAGAGGTCACAGTTGAGGGGCTTGTGGGTGCCTGGATGCTGCTGGGGTTCCAGGTGGTGAGAGGGGGGGAGGCATGTCAGAGACCCAGGTTGAGGCTGGGTTGCAAATTGGCACAGTGGTGGCGGAAGTGCACGGGGATGGCTACCAGGTGGAGGTGGGAAGAAAGGCTCGAGTGTCACGGAAGAGAGCGGCAGTGCCCTCGGACGTGGACGATGTGGATGTGCTCACTCCGGCACAGCGTTTCGGGCAAAAAGGTTTGGGCTGAAGTGGTTGAGCATGGACCTGGGGGGTCCAGGGGCAAGGGGCATGTGAAAGCAGATCACAGAATGGTGATTGAAGATCAAGGGCGTATAAAGGGGAAGGGGGATAAAGGTGGTGCAATACGTAAAGGAAAACCTCCATTGACAAATTCAAGAGTCTCTCTATAAATGTTAATGGTCTGAAAAATTCTAGGAAGTGTGAATGGTTTCATGAGATGCTCATTAGGTATGGTGTAGATGTAGTGTTTGTGCAAGAGCACAACCACAAGCCGGGTTGTATGTTGATGATTGAGGGGTTATACTGTATATGCGGCACACTCAACGAGATTGAAAGGAGGAGTGGCTATTTTGGTGAGGGAGGCTAGCCCGTTTACTGTACATCATTGTGAGGAGGGGGGTGAGGGGAGGGTTATAAGAGTGGATGGGACATGGGGAAGAGATAAGATGTCTTTTGTGTGTTTTTATGGTCCGGCGGAGGGGGACAGTCGAGTGAAGAATGAGTTTGTACGTGAAGTGTTGGTGTATCACTTAAGGTCGCTTCCAGCATTAGCTGTGGTGGGAGGGGACTGGAATTGCGTTATACGCCGCAAGGATGTGGAACCTAGGGGAGCAGGATATTGTTCTGGCGTTCTGAGGGACCTGTTAACAGGGGTGGGGTTGGTGGATGTAGAGGGGGGGGCGGCGTGGGAGGTGCAGCACACCTTTGTGAGGCAGGGGTATGCTGCACGGCTGGACAGGATATACGTGACAAGGAAAGCTGTGGTGCGGAGTGTAAGGGTTTTGGATGTCTTTTTTTCTGATCATAGAGGTGTTTTGGTGGATTTGGGATGGGAGGGTCGGCCGAACAGGTATAAGTAGTTATTGGAAATTGAATGTTCGGTTGCTTCAAGATGTTGAGGGGAGGGTCCTATTTGCACAATGGTGGAAAGGCTTATGGGAAGGGATGGAAGTCAATGGGGATGTGTTGAGATGGTGGGATGTGACGGCGAAGATGAGGATTCGAGAGTTCTATGTCCGACAGGGAAGGCACGAGAATCAGTTGGCTTATGGGCTTATTAGGTATCTTGAGGGGCAGTTAGGGAGTATTATGAGAGAGGAAGGGGGGGGATGGGAGCCCCTGTGGCTGACATACAAGGAGTGAAGGAACGCCTAATGGAAGTGCCAAAATGAGAGGTTTGATGCGGCAAGGGTTTTAGGGGGGTTGGAGGAGGTCATGTGGGGTGATAGACCATCGGCGTGTGTCCTGCGAGGGCAGGGGCGCCGGCGCGTTGCAATGGAAATGGTGGGTTTGAGAGTTCTTGAGGACATCGAGGGGTATAGGGAGGGACAAGACTTGGTGACAACGGAGGGGATGGGAGGGTATGTTGATTCTTGGCTTAGTGCACTATGAGGAGTGTGGGTGTGAGAGAGGGGGCTTTAAGAGAGACAGGGGGATGGGTACGGAGTGTGCTGGACAGGGACGCAGGGAACAGTTACAGGGGCCTATTGTGGAGGACGAGGTGTGGACGGCTTTAATGAGTATGAGCAGGGGTAAGGCACCGGGGATAGATGGGCTGCCTGCGGAGTTTTACATACAGCATTGGGGGTATTAAAGATTTTTTGGTGCAATTATTTAATATCATAAAAGAGAGGGGTGCGTTGGGACCTTTGCAGGCGACAGCACTAGTAGTTTTGGTGCCAAAGGGTGAAAGTCAGTGCACAGTGAGAGATTACCGGATGATATCACTCATGTGCGCAGACTACAAACTTTTTGCAAAAATTTTGGGAAATCGTATAAAAAAGGTCATTGGAAAGGTAATAGTGAGGGGTCAATATGGGATTCCGGGGAGATCAATGTATGAGGGGCATGGGGTTATTAGAAGGTTTATTGAGGGTCCACAAGAGGGGGAACGTGGGGTATTGGCGTTGGATTGGAGAACGGCATATGACAGTGTCGAGAGGGAGGCTCTGTGGAGAATCATGGAGTGGCAAGGGTTCGGGGAGGACATTGTGAATTGGGCACGTACTTTATATCGGGGAGCTGGGATGTGTGTACAGATAAATGGGAGGGTGGGGTTGCATGTGAAAATGGGCAGGGGATTGAGGCAAGGTTGCCCGTTGTCACAAATATTATTTGCATGTTTACAGAATCCGTTTTATAGGGCAGTGGAAATGTGCATACAGGAGGGGTAAGGGAGGACATACGAGGTGGGAGTCCCAGTATCATAGGTTACGTTGATGACACAACTGTCCTAGTGAGTGGGAGGAGGGATTGGAGGGTCTGGAGAGAGTTATAGATGTTTTTGGGATGGCAACAGGTATGGCAGTGAATGTGCATAAATCAAAGCTCATGATATTGGGTGAATGGGATGGGCAGGAGGGCGGGGTGGGGGGGGGTGGAGGTGGAGTGTCGTGGACCGGGTGAAAATTGTGGAGTTGTGTATATGGGTAATGCTCAGATGGCGAGGGAGAATAATTCAAAGGGTGTGGTAGATAGGGTATTGGGAAGATTGTCAGGATTGAGGCCGACCATCTTACGCTACACCAGAGGGTCATTGTGGTCAATGTGCTTTTGTACAGTAAAATATGGCATGTGGCAGCTTTGTACCCTTTGGTGTATGGGGATGTCCGGAGATTGTTGAGCAGAGTTTTCCGTTTTATCTGGGGTTCAGGATGCGATTGGTTGAAAAGAGAGGTGGTAACACTTCCCGGGGGCCTTGGGAGGGCTGGGGTTAATTCATTTGGAAAGAAGGTTGAAGTGTGTATATGTGAAACATGGGTTTTCTAAGGGCTCGGGGGGAAGGGAGTGGAGGGTTGGGGATGCTGCAGGGAGATCTTCGGAGATGGTGGAAGGGACAAGATTTGAGAGATGGTGAGGAGTTGTTGGTCTATTGATGATGGTCAGAGAGCCGAGAAGAAACATGCGGGTAGGGTCCATGGAGGGGGAAGATATGGCCTAGGGTGGTAGTGGCAATGGAAGGAGTGTACCGATGTACGCATGGGAAGACATTTGGGGCCGATTTTAAAAGGGTTACGCATCTGGCCACGCGTGAGGGAGGTAATGTATAGGTTTCTTCACGGAATATTGCCGTCTGGGGTTGTTTTACGAAATAGGCGAATAAGGGAGGGTGGGATGTGTCAGGTTTGTGGGGTAGATGAATCAGCTTTTCATGTAGTTTATTTTTGTGAAAGCCTAGGGATTGTGCGGGAATGGTTAGGGAAAGTAATCCGGTTTTGTGGGGGGGAAAGGGTTGTCGGTTTTGAGAGCTCTTAGTTTAGATGTAGGTGGGGTTGGGGTAAAGGTTCAAAGGGCAGTGGCTTACTTAATGGTTGATTTTTTTGTATATATCATGGGCAATGAGAGACAAAGGGCGGAGGAACGTAGGATGGCCATAGCAGCATCCTTTTATAGGACAAAGTGTCGCAACAGGGAAATATATGGTAGAAGGTGGGAGAGGGATTTCTCGGAGGGCTACAGGGACTTTCTTTTGAGGGATTTTATGGTCTTTATAAGCGGTCAGGGGAAAAGAACGGGCTGGCCTTCCCAGGGAGGGGGGGTGTTGCAGAGGTCGATTGTGTGAGTGTGTGTGGAATTGTGTGAGGAAGGATGTTGAGGTGATATTCAATGTGGTATTC